GCAAGAACAATTGGAAGTGGTATCAAAATGAAATATTGAAAGAAGCTGGGACCTTAAAGTTAAAAACGGTTTATAATATATATAGTTTGTTAAGGTATTTAATTAAAGCAGAATTTAAAAAAGAGAGAAGTCAGGAAAGACACCAGTGAATACACAGAAAATATGTTTCACTAAAATACTTTTTTACAGTGAAGTACGAAAATGAAAATAAGCGTTTTATTTCATCAATATTTCTCAATATTTCATTTAAAGGTATATAATAAATATATGTACTCTGATTTGATTTCGATATAAATTCTATTTTGTCAAGGATCTTAATTACAATGTAATATATAAATCCGCGATTATGTGTAATTCTTGTCCGATTTGGGTTTTAAAAGCGTTTAACCACTTTTCATTTTTGGGTCATTTTGCACTTATACTGGAAAAATAGAGTGAGCGAATAATCTGAAATCTTGCACACAAGTTAACGTGCATCCAATAGTATATAAATTTAGAAAAAGATATTACCAGTTTCGTCATAGCAATAACGTTTATTAGAGATGTAGATTTATCTATATCTCTGCGTTAGTTTTAAAAAAATCATACCCTGGTTGGTATATTTTAACTGGAACAATAATAAAATTTTGGTCCCAGATTTTAATTAGAATAGGAAACACATTTGTGACATTGTAACAAATGTGAACAAAAAAAGTAAATTACATGAACACTGACTTATTTTTAAAAAAATCAGCATCAGACTAAAATAACAAAATTGAAAAAAAAAACAAGAAAAAAAAACAGATTGCAAAAGTAGAAAATAAAAAATATTCATAAGATTGTTCAAAATGCAGCGCGTATATAGAACAGAACAGAACAGAACAGAAACTTTATTACTTGGTTTAAGCATAAAAAGCTCATCACCATATTAAATATACAAATACAACATATAATACATAAATGACACATGACATGAATATATATAATTACAAAATAATGGTTTATGTGATGTGAGAATGTTTAATGAGATACGAAATTACTTAAAAAGCATATGAATACATGTATATAATACACAAGAATTTGCCTATCTTTACCAAACATTATCAATTTAAGCTACAATACATTTTCTTCTATGTGAATACAAAAAAGCAAACTGTGACAAATGAAGGGGATAACTTAGGTATTTTAACATTTACTTCCCCTTAATAATTCATGATCAATATTAATAGAATTCATTTCTATATGAAAAATGAATACATTTACTGATTTTGTACGTTTTTTTTATATATATAAAGAAAAGAAAAACCCACACAAAACAGACCAATACCCGAAACAACTAACACTTGACTTAATTATAAGGATTAGTTTTGTCAAAACATTTTATCATGGTATTTATATTTGGTTATGTGTTGAAAAACAGATATAGTTAATTTGAGAAGATACAAATATTAATAAATAAATAAAAAAATATATGTATATATGTACAATTTCATATTCACATATAACTTTACAAATCTACATGATGGATATACAATGCGCATTTAACAGTTACAATGATACTTTTTTATTTTTTTAAACAACAGAAAAAACAGAGAAAGAGAGTAAAGCTTACATGTCAGTATATTATAACAAACTATCCCTCAATTTAAAAGCTTTATCACAGAATATAGCTAAATTTTTCGGTTCTTTCTTGCGACCAGTTTGCATTAATGAAATGAATTTAAACATACTTGTGTTGCAATAATAGTATCTTGGAATGTATTGCTTTCTTGACTCAGAATATATCGGACATTTAAGGATAAAGTGAAATTCATCTTCTATATCATTCATATAACATAAAGTGCACTTTCGTTCATTCCTTGGTACATTATTATGTCTTCCTAACTCGATATTAAGTTTGTGTGAGGAGAGTCTTATTTTTGCTAAAACATTTCTATATTTTACATTTTCAATATATTTTATATATAACGATTGTTCAAATGTGATCTTATATTTCCTATATACATCTAACAATGATGAAGATTGAATACCATTATTCCAACAACTTATATAAATATCCCGTAATCTATTCCTAAAAATAGGTACAAATAGTTTTATATTAACAGAATCGGGATATAACCAGACTTCATTAAATCCTGCTGACTGAAGAATGTTTTTAACTTTTGAAGCCCAGTTTGTTGAACAATTTACCACATCAACATCATATATCTGTCTACACAATATTGTTCTCAATATACAATTATCTTTTTTACTTGTATTTAACTTAAGAAAATATTTAATCATACGAATATGCCTTTCAATGTAAAGAGGAAATCTCCCCAATTCTGCATATAATGCCAAAGTATTTGTCGACTGTTTAACATTTAAAATAAACCTACAAAATTTTGATGTACTCGTTCCAAAACTTCTGCATTCATAAACCCCCATACTTCACAGCCATAATTTAAAATTGATAAAACATAGGCGTCAAAGAGATTAAACATAATGTTAACTGGTACTTTGTAGTCACGTAACAATTGTAACAATGAATATAATGATCTGAGCCCTTTCCCAGCTAACGTCTTTGTAGCTTGCATGAATGACCCACCACTCGTGAATACCACACCTAAGTAGTTAAATGAATTTACTACCTCGACTTCTTGATTATTATAAAACCACTTATCCATATTACCAAGTCTACCACCTTTTCTGAATACAATTATTTTTTGTCTTTTCAACATTTACCGTCAAATTCCAACGATTACAATAGGACAATAAACTATCGAGTGACTTCTGCAAACCAGACCTAGATTCTGAAATGATGACGGCATCGTCAGCAAATAACAATAAATAAATTGATATTTGGTCGATATTAAGACCAACGTCAATATTTTCTTGCAGGTGTAATTCGATATCATGCAAGAACAGGGAGAAAAATATTGGAGAAGTTATCTCCCCCTGGAATAGACCAATGTGGAAGACATCAGATAACGTTCCTAGATGTTTAACACACAATTTCACCTCATTATACATTGATCTTATAATTGACAAGAATTTGCCGTCAATACCTAATTTTATAAGTTTATACCATAACCTTGACCTATCAATACAGTCATATGCTTTTCTATAATCAACGAAACAACAGTACAGTTTCTTTTTGTTTTCAATTTGCCTTTGTATGAGTGAATGTAAGATAACGATAAAAACAGGAACAACTGTGCTATACCCATTTTTGAAACCAAACTGGGCATCCGACAATACACAGTTGTCTTCAGCCCATGATTTAAGTCTTTCGTTTAATATAATTGTAAACAGCTTAGAAAAACAGCTAGTAAGTGTGATTCCTCTATAATTATTGGGATCTGAAATATTGCCCTTCTTATGCAAGGGAATAATAACACCTGTCGCCCATGACTTGGTAAAGAACAAGTTTAAAGGGTGAATTATCTGAGGGACAGATACTTTAAAATATTCATATAGGATATTGTCTAACGAGGGCGTTTTGTTTACTCCTAGCTTCTTGATAGCTTTCAAGATTTCCTCATTTGTGATACGTTCATCTAGCGTCTCAAATGTGCTACTGTCATATATCCCCTCACCTAAATTATTGATAAAATCGTCATAGTCATTATTTTCTACTTCCTCGCTCTCCCCTGACATTAAATTGCAAAAATAATCTTTAAAATCACTAACTGAAAAATCTTCCCCACAAACAGTAGAATTTGTACTTTTGAATATTTTCCAAAATTCCCTTGGTGATCCTCCTTAAATCGTTCATTTTTTGACAACGTGTATTATTAAAAGCATTTTTTGATTTTCTACATTGATATTTATAGTCTTTTCTTTTATTAAAAAGTATAGTTCTATCTTCTGAAGAGTAAGATAAATTATATCTGGTTACAGCATCCTTATATGCAGCCAATTTTTGAGAACATAAATTATCAAACCATTTCTTATTTTTGTTATTATCACTAAAACAAACTTCACTGTCAACAATATAAGTCTTCTTGAAATACTTATCACCATGTTCACACAAAAAATTAGTAAAAATAGAAGTGAGTTTATCAACACTGTTTTCTCCATTAATTTCAGAACGTAAATCACTTTCAAGTGAGTTCAAATTTTGAGATATATCTCTCAAAAATAAATCTTGGTATCTTTTATCAAACTTAATACGTGTATTAGTACTACTTGTAGGCTCATATAATGGTTCAATATTAGTTTTAAAAGAAAACGACAATGTGGCATGGTTGGAAAAAATATTGAATTCTCCGACCTCAAAATTGTCCAGTAAGCAAAAATTATCTTCTTGTGTAAGTAGGTAATCTACTGCACTTGTTCCATTATGCGTGAAACAGGTAAATTTCCCATGATCACCTGGCCAGCGACCGTTAACTATTCGCTGATTGGTTGCTTTACAGAGATCAAGTAGATAATCACCGAACCGATTTGACGTAGTATCTCGAGAAATGCGAGGCATGGGATTATCAATAGTTATTACCACTACTAATATTTCTGTCAAACTGAATAAAACAGCTTTACAACCAGTTCTACTATTAAGATCGCCTACTACAAATATTTTGCCTAGCAAATTATAGTCCATAATATCTTGTTCAAGTTGTGAAAAAATATCAATATTGTAAACGTTATGCACAGGGGAAGATTCAGGTGCGATGTATGTAAAACAAATATATATATCATCTCTAATATTAAAAAATGTTTTATCTATTTTTAACCAAATTATACAGTCTATAGAATTTTTAACAATTTTTATTCCTTGCCTTAATTATAGTGTCTTTCATATATACCACAAGTCCGCCGCTTGACCGCTTTGCCCTACGGTGTTGATATTTCCGATATGAATGAATTGGGTTTGAATAGCCTTTAAGTTCAATATTTGACGATTTGTTTGTCCATGTCTCACTTAGGCAGATAATATCATTTTTACATAATATGTCTAAAAAATCCTTGCATTGTTTTTTTCCCACAGTAAGTCCTTCTACGTTCCACGATATACATTTTAAAACATTCCAACTTGGTTCCTAGCATGATTCTCTATAAAGCTGATTGTTAATGTAAAGTTTGTCCATCTTAAGGTATGCTTCCTTTCCATCCCGGCGGGCCTGAAACATGATAGGGATTAACTTACGGCGCTGATCTACTATTTCTTTCGGATACTGTTCTGATATGCCATAGATAGATCCCTTCAGCTCCTTAGCAGCTCGTCGCACCCGCTCACGATCGGGGAAGTCCGTGAATTTAGCGACAATCGGTCGTGTTTTTCCGGCACTATATTGCCCAATGCGATGTACTCTCTGAAGTCGGATATCACTAGATGCATTTTCTATTTTAAGTTTTTCTTCAATGAATTGTAGGATTTTAACTTCACAGTTTTCATCTTTTTCTTCTTTGATTTTGTGAAACAATAAATTGTCCCGCATACTACGACATTTTAAATCTTGTATTTCTGACTTTAATGCGATTTCTATGCTTTTATGTTCTAGTTCAATTTTCGACATTTTACTGGCAAAACTATCTAACTCTTTGTGATGCTTATTCATTTCTAACAAAGTTTGACTATCGAAGTCGCGGCTACGCTCTAAAGCCTGTACTTTATCATCGAGTTCATTGACCTTTAATTCCATTGTTTGGATACGCATGTTTATACTGTCAACACTACATTGAATTGTATCTAACCTGGAAAGTTTATTGTCCATACTATCCAACCGTTTCATTATCATTGTCATAACGTCTGTGCCTGGCGAGGCGGTTACATGAACATTAGATGAGTTACATGCATCCATTTGTCCCATAATTGGGTAGGGGCTTGCACCAATATTCATTGGAGGGGCGTACGTGTATCCAAAGTCCGATGATAATAACTGTGATTGGGGGTATAAGGTTGTGTTTGTTTAAACGATGAGTCCATTTTCCTTGTCCATGTTTTGCCTTTGTTTACGTTCCCGCCTTTTCACTGGTGTTTGATGTTTTTCTTCTCCATGCGAAGTTTTAGACTTTTTTCGCTTTCTGGTCATATGGTACCAATATTAAACATTCCCTTCACCAAAAAATATATCCAAAACTTATTTTGATCACTAAATAACTTGTAAATATATTAATTTTCCATTTTCTATTACACTGATTTAAAATTTCCACCATTTGCTCACGCATGCGCACTTAGCATTTCACATCTACGCTAATTTATTTCTGTTGCTCTGGCTATTAAAACGTTCAACGGCGCCTAGCTAGAATTATTACCCCTCACTTTTTTCGTAATGTTAATTTCTCATAGGCCTCTGGGAGTTATTCTTACTGTTAATGCAAGTGTACCACGTGACTAAAAATTTTGTACTGTTACATAGGTAACAGTATTTTTTAACAGTATAAAATCTGGTCACGTGGTCTATTTTCTAAATAAAATGAAATAAAATGGCCGCCATTTTGTTCTCGATTCATTTTTATTTTCGACGATAGGGCATCGCCGAAGTAACTATTACTCTCATAAAATTCTTTGCACCCTAGAGTTCCTTTCGCGTATAAAATATCTTTTTGTTGAATAGTCAACCGGAAACATCCGTTTTCAACGGAAGTAATTGTAATGTAAATAATTTTGTGTCAAACTGGAATATGCAGACAATTAAAGCATGCAACAAAGGATAATTTAACAATTTTAACCAGTGAAACGTTACAGATAGAGTTGGTGGACAGACATCAGTAGGATATCATCGTTATTTTCTAAATGCACTTTGTCAAAAACCATGCGAAGAATATTCTGGATGCAGACGGATCAGATTTCACAGATCATAACCTTATAAATGGGTTAGTGTTTTGTTATCTAATAAAACCTAGCTTATTGTATGTTTATGATTTGTAGATGTCATCATTTGCTTAAAGAATAAAAGAAAAAGAGAACTTCTCAAGTAGGCCTAAAGTACACTTAAAACTTAAAAGGTAAGGACAGTTTAAAATTAGTTATTGTTACTCTTGGTTTATTTTTGTTACAGTTAGATTTAGTTGACAATTTCAGATCATCACATTATTTTTGTTCGGGGGTAATAAAATAAATCACACATGGGTTTGTGGGTAACAGTAAAAATATCATCCCGAGGAAAATACTGTTACCCGAGGCGTAGTACACTTAAAACTTAAAAGGTAAGGACAGTTTAAAATTAGTTATTGTTACTCTTGGTTTATTTTTGTTACAGTTAGATTTAGTTGACAATTTCAGATCATCACAGTATTTTTGTTCGGGGGTAATAAAATAAATAACACATGGGTTTGTGGGTAACAGTAAAAATATCACCCCTCGTAAAAATACTGTTACCCTCGGCTACGCCTCGGGTAACAGTATTTTCCTCGGGATGATATTTTTACTGTTACCCACAAACCCATGTGTTATTTATATACTGACACTGACAATTTCATTGATAGGTATAGAATTCTATTTTTTTTTGTTTTTTTATTTGTTTTCACGTGTAGTCTATAGCCGGGCAAGCCACTTATTTGGGGTAATCTCAGGGGCAGGTAACTTATACATTAACGTCTGAAATATCTTTTTTCCTTTTGTAATGTTTTTCAGTATATTTTTCCATATTTTCAACCAAAAAATCCATGAAATATTTCTGTTACCTTTTTCATAAGAGGTAATTTTAATTCTTCTAAGTTTTGCCTTAAAAAGCGTTTTAATTTCGCCGCCGCCGCTGCCAACCACCACCAATAACAACATAGTATGAGTAGGAAAAAGTTTTGTAAAATGCGTAAGAATACAACACTCGCTGTATCTGTAAAATCCACAGATCCGCTGATTTATATAAAACTCGAGTTCAACATCTTGCGACATTTAACGATAGTGTTGCGACATTTAACGGTAGGGGAAATCCGTGCGACATTTTACGTTAACATTAACGGCAAATGATTTTGCGACATTTAGCGGCGGTTGCGAAATTTAGCGGCAATGGTGCGACATTTAGCGGTAAATGCGACATTTAACGGTGTTGCGACATATAACGGCGCCACACATGCCTACTTTTGTTACTTAAAATCAACAACAATATCTGTCAATTCCGTTATTACTTAGGTCTTTTACGTGCCGATTTTATTGTATTCATTTTCTTAATAATCGATGAGAACAGACCTATGAGCTTTATCATTGAAACTTAAATCGGTATTTGAAATAAAGTATCATTCCTCTTTTAAATGAACATTATCTTTTTAAAATTATATTATAAATGGTTTAGCTTCGATATATTTTTGCAAGTAGGGTATGCGTTTCGTTCAGTCATTTTTACGCTGATTTTGTCGTATTGCATTTCTTTATCGCCTACGAAATGTATTTTCTATATTTGCACCATAGTATCATTCTTCTCCATTAAAAACAAAATTACAAATATAGTTACAAATGATAAAACTATACATTATTTTGTAAAGAAGGTGTCCGTTTGCAAAGGTATTTTACGCTTTGCACCGATACATTTGATACAGATATATGCCCAACATGATGATTCAATATTATTGAAGAAGTTTTCACTATATTGAATTAAAGCCGGGATGAGAAAATTTAGGTCAGATTATCGCATCGAATTTTTCACAGACTAGAGACATACCTTCAAACTTGAGTGCGATTTTTTTTTTATAATGAATTGCCTGACACATAAAACAAAAAATTTCAAAAAAATGACTTCATGTTTACATTGAAAATTTCTCTGCTATTCACACCACTGACACATACTTTTTTTAAACGAAATACCAAGGTAAAAAGTGATCTTAGAGATTGAGAAACTATTTTATTTCAATAAGAAATTTAAATGTTATTGTCTTTATAATTAATTCAAATGTTTATAATCTTAAAACTTCATGTCAGAAGTTTATTTAAAATAAACCCTACTTATTTGTACAGCTGACAGTTAAAACCAAAATAATTTTTTTTGAAAAAAAAACAAAAAAAACAACCCCCCCCCCCTAAAAAAAACAAAAAAAAAAACAAACAAACAGAAAGTTGTGTCCGACCGAGGCCGAGCTCTTTATGTTTACTGACTTCAAATCACTTGCACTGAACTGCTATGAATTTTTGAAAACCACCAGGGACTTTTGATTCTTTCGCATGGAAAACCTAGCAAGCAAGTTTCAAAATGTCGATGGTTCTCTGCAGGTGCAATATTCTGCCTGAAGTAATGCACAAAGGCGTACCTGAGGTCCTCGCCCCCAGTAAAGTTAAATGGTAGAGTGAAAGTTTGAAATAAAACAACAAAAAAGCAGTCATTACCTAGAACATACAGAACCACATTTTACTAAGAGCGTAGCTAGCCAAAATGAAGTTTGTAATTTAAGTTCATAGACTTCTTTATTTTTGCACAAAAATAGGAATAATAAGATACAAAAAAATATAAACAATTATTTCAGATATTATGATAAATTAAGTAACATGTCCATGGTTAAAAGTAGCTTCCGCAATTTAAAAATTCAAATTAAATGTTATACTTTTATTTTGTACTATAGCTCTAAAAAGAGCCATTAACAAAACATCAATATATACATAAACAAAAATCAGAAACATAGCAATACGTGACAAGAAGTCATGGCATGTGTATTCACTGGAAATAAGTTTTTGATAAATGGTGGGTAAAGTAGCTCTTACACTTAAAATAAGGTTGCTCATGTTAAGTGTCTTATAAAATTACCAAACCAAAAAGTTTCAGTAAACAAGATATAAACGAAGCGTTGTTTCACATGACATCTTATGGAGCAGAATTTGGGTATTTATTCGCTGTTTATCTTTCAATTTCTATTTATCTTATTTATATTCGTATTCATTAAATTCTTATCTATAATCATATAAATTTAACTTGATTTAAACATGTTTAATTGCTACATTTTAATTGACAGTTAAACATTTGTATTTTGATACTGCAGAATGTAAGGATTAATTGTTTCTACTTCTTGTTTAAACTACGTGATTAGATATTATGTTGTATACTTCTTCCTTTACAATTTGAATAATTTAGTTTTAACTTATGATCTTGAACGTACTTCCTTTTAAGAATACAAAGTGGGTTACATAGCACTGAAATAAAATCTATACGAATGCACCTAGACGAATACAAACTGCAATAACACGAATACGAAATTACATTTGAAATTTGAATTTATACATCTGGCCGGGAACCAATATTTCCGTACAAGTCCGTAATTTCTGACGGTGTAACCGTTGAAATATTTTCTTCAAAAAAAAATTCACGAAATCCAGGGTAGCACTCAACAGTTAATTTCAAGTTCCTGCCGTCAATGTCCTACAAGCAATACGTCTAATAATTCTGATACCAAACTACACAACCTGGAAAAAGAAAACACATTTTGTTGAGAACATATATGACATAAGATTGCAAATCTACAAAGTAATCATCCCATCTGCAATAGGCAGGCAGTCAAAAAAGTTGCAATTCATTCTACAGTGGCTCGAGACCCAAAATAACACATTTCGTCCCTCTCGCAAAAAATACCTGCAAATAGAACACCGTCTCTGCTTCAGCAACTCCCAATACATGCAAAATATCAAAAAGAAACTGGTGCTCAACCTTGTTGATTTTTTTGCTACTGCTAAAAGTTTATACCCCCTGTAAAACAACTTGTTTTTACCGCGCATGCTGTTTAAAAGTAATGTTTACAAAAATGGCGGCCTTGACATCTATAATCAACAGCATGTGATTTCTGGTCATGTTTTCGAATTTGCCAGTGATCATATTAGATGTCACAAAAACAAATTTCATGCTGAAAATGCACTTTAAATAAAGACAACCAGTCATTAAACCTTTTCCCT